GTGTCCCGGCCGGGCTCTGCGCGGGCGGGGCGGGGGACGCAGGCAGCCAGCCATGGGGGGCACGCAGGGTGCTGGAGGGGAGATGGCGGGGCTCTGCGATGCGAGGAGGGCTCAGCACCACGCTGACCGACTTCTTGTCCCCCCGTGTCCCGCAGGCTGGAGGAGGTGCCCTTGGAGGTGCTACGGCAACGAGAGTCCAAGTGGCTAGACATGATCAACATCTGGGACAAGTGGATGGCCAAGAAACACAAGAAGGTAAGTGACAGCCTTGTCACCCGGGGCTGCCCCCAGGACAGGGGAGGTGGCAGGGAAGGACAGCCTGGTGCAGCAGGGTCCCCTTGAGGCTTTGGGGCAGCCTGCGTGTCACCGGGTCCCCGCAGAGAGCCGCGTTGCCTTTGGATGATGCCGTTGGCTTGAATGGGCTGTTCCCTCCCCGTGACGCTTCTCATGGCGGGCGGGAAGCTGGAGCTTGGAGGGGGGCTGAGCCTGCGGTCCCCGAGCCAGCCCACTCCTGCCCCCGTCTGCTCCCCGTCGGGCTGGAGCCTTCCTAGGGCTTCTTTGGCTGCCTGCAGGCAGCCAGGGGAATTGTTCGGTCATGGAAACTTCTGTTCTGAGCATCTTGTAGACCAAAAAAAGCTCCGGGTAGGAAATGTTTGAGCCTGATATGCATGAGACTGGTCTGCAAGCTGGGGTCCCCGGGAGACTCGTGGCGATGTGTGCTGGGTGGCTCCGTGGCTTGGTCCGTTGGTGCTTCCTGGCCTCCTGAGCCTGCGAACGGGGCAGGGATGGGATGCAGCAAGTCTCGAGTTCCTGTCGTGTGTTCGCTGGAAGCGGTGGGGCCGCTGGCAAGGGTCAGCGGTGGCTGAGAGTGGCTGGAGGGCCGCCTCCTCCTCTTCCTCCTCCTCCCCCTGACTGGCAGAGCTTCCTGGCACCACTCTATGTGCTGTGCTCCTGGAGCGCTGTCCCCGCTCGGTGCCTGGTGAACGATGCAGGAATCCCTCATCTGTTTCTTGGCCACTCACAAAGGATTCGGGAGAGCTTTCTGGGACTCGGCAGGCGGGCGCTTTGTTCTGCGGGCGGTTTCCGCTGCTCTCCGGCCGTGCCGCAGCGTGGCCTCCGGGCTCGGGTGAATGCTCCGGCAGCCGTACGTCTGGCAGAGGAGCTCCCTCGTGCTTGGGCTGAGCTCCTGGGGATCTCCATGGGGCTGATGTGCTATATAGTCTGTCCTGCAGCAAAAAAAAAATCCATGCCCAGAGCCTCTGAGGTCTGCTCCAGAGAGCTGCTCCGTGCCCAGAGCCCTGGGGCTGTGCGGGGAAGCGTGCCAGGTCCGGCCTCGGATGCTGTAGACCGTCCCTGCTCTGGCAGGAGCCTGGCTGCTTTGGGACGGGGCCACGCCACGTGGCTCCGGCCCTGCTGCTTCGCAGGAGCTCCCCGTGCCTCCGAAAAACCC